TTTAAGAAAAATTAAATTCTTTTTATTTAAACACAAAGATTATTAAGAATTTTGTTCTACTTTTTTATTAGAGTTTTTTTTAAATAGATCAAAATCTGGAGTTTAATTGTAAAATAATTACATATCTCATTTTCATTAATAAAAGTTGAAGATACCACATATATTTTTCATTAACATACAAAAGTAGGACAAAATTCTCAATGACCTTTGTGTTTAACTAAAAAAAATTTAGTTTTTCTTAAATTAGTTTTCAAGTTTGAGTATTATAAATAGAGAGATAAGTACTGAAAAAGTTTTTTTCTTATGAGATTTGACTCAAGTCAATTCCAAATTAATTGGGGTAAAGGGAAGTACCCAAAAAAAAAAGATTAAATTAAAATACAAGTTTTCAAAATTGAAAATTACTTAGCGTGTCAACACAATAATATAGGTGTCGGCACTTTTGCTACAAATCTAAGTTAAAGGGCTTCTTTGCACCAGTTGAGGAGTTGAAGGATTTAATTGCATCATTTTTAGTTTATGAGCTTAAATATTAATTTAAAATAAATTTAGAAACTTAAGAAGAGTTTTTACCAATGAAAATGAGGATGAAAAGTGTACCTATTTTGGTATATACCCGTTATCATTTTTAGGTGTTTCATTGGAGATGGGAAGTGTACCTATTTTCATATGTACCTGTTATCAATTCTAGGTGTCATCTATTTTGAAAGCTGTCATCATTGTAAATTGGCCTCTAGTGCAAGTGATCCAATCGTTGTCGTTAAATAGTATAAACCAATAATTTGACGTGTTATATTCTATAAAGCGATCCAATTGCTGTCGTTAAATAGTATAAACCAATAATTTGACGTGCTGTATTCCATTAGTATAAACCAATAATTTGACTTGCTATATTCTATAAAGCGGTCCAATTGCTGTCGTTAAAGAGTATAAACCAATAATTTGACGTGCTATATTCTATAAAGCGGTGCTGCCCCATTCAGTTGTTAATGATCAGTTACCAGCATATCTACAACATTTTGCATGTAACATGGGTATGATATTTGCATCCAACAATACACTTACTATAATATTTAACAAAAATATTTAAATATAAATTAAGATTCACTTCTATAAAAATTATATATATTAATTATATAAAATTTTAATAATTTATTTTTTATTATAAATTATTATAATTTATTTTAAAAAAATATAATTATTTTTAAAATATAAAATAAAATTAAATAAATTACAATTATTTCTAATAAATATATAAATGATATTTAAAAACTATGTGTAAGTAACTTCTTACCGTTTTCAGATACCAATATACTTATCATTCCCCTCAATTTGTGCGGAATTACGATGGACGCAGAAATTGCTTCTGAAGGATCGGAAGGTGGAAATTAGAAATGCTTTTGCCAAGTCACATGCTGCAAAGAAAGCAAGCGAGAAGCCACCTTGGCTGGGATGAAATGAAGATCAATTTCGATGAACATAAGCCGATGTTTAATGAATTTTTTATAGACATATAAAGCAATAATAGTAATACAATGAGTTTTTTAACTTTGATCTTTAAAGTATAAATTAAGAGTATAGTTCATCTTTTAAAAATTGATTTACATTTTTTTAAATGACAAAACTCCATTAAATGAATATAAAAAAAGAAATTAGCAACTACATTTTTTTAAGGTTAAACTCCTTTTTTGGTCTCTCAACTATTATATGGACTTTTGATTAAGTCCCTTAACTCAAAAAATCCCTGACTTAGTCCTTATTGTTTACCATTTTTACCCTAACTTGGTCATTTCATTAAACATCTCTCCACGTGTAGTGTTAATTCATGGTAAGATGATGATATGTCACAATATTAACCTACGTGGAAGACCACATGGCAAAAAATAGTGACACGGCAAGAAAATAGTGACATTGGCAAAAAAGAAAAAATCTTTCTTTTTTCTTTTTTTCCTTCTCTTTCCCATTTTCTTTACCCTTGGGATCCAGGGTTCCAAGGAACCCAGAGCCTAGGTTCGTCGAACCCAGGCTTGGGTTCGTTGGAATCCAGCTGGGTTTGACAACCCAAGCCTGGGTTTGAAAGAACCCAATGCTTGGGTTTAACGAACCCAGGCTCTGGGTTCCTTGGAACCCGGTGTTGGGTTCGATCGAACCTAGACGTTGGGTTTGACGATCCCAAGCTCTAGGTTCCTTGGAACTTGGTGTTGGGTTCAATTGAACCCAGGCGTTGGGTTCTTCGACAAAAAAATAAATAAATAATTTGTGTTTTTGTGGGTGTTGTTTGATGATGATGATGATGAATTGATTGATGAAGAAGGAAAGGAAGAGGAAGGAGAAAGGGAACGAGGAAGGAGAAAGAATTCAAGGAACCTAGAGCCTGGGATCGTCGAACCCCGACGTTGGGTTCTTTGGCAAAAAAATAAATAAAATTTTTTTGTGTTTTTGTGGGTGTTGTTTGATGACGATGATGAAGAATGGATTGATGAAGAAGGAGAGAAAGAGGAAGGAGAAAGAAAATTTTACATTTTTATTGCCATGTCACTATTTTTTGCCATGTTGTCTTCCACGTGAGTTAATTTTTTATATGCCATCATCTTACTGTAAATTAACAGTATACGAGGAGAGATTTTTAATGGAATGACCAAATTGAGGTAAAAATGGTAAACAGTAGGGACCAAGTTAAGGATTTTTTGAGTTTAGGGACTCCCATACAATAGTTGAGGGACCAAAAAAGAGGTTTAACCTTGTTTTAAATGAACAGAATGACAGCTCCAAATCTCTAAGAATGAAAGTCATGTTAAACAAAGATTAGAGATTAATGAATGGAAATATGAAATGGAAACTGTTTATATATTAAATGATATTTAAATTTGAAAATTATTTATATATTTTAATATAATCAGTTTAAATTTAAATATTAATATTTAACAAAATAGATTTTGCAATTTTAACTTAAATTTTAATAAAATAAAATAAAATAATTTAAAATTAAACTCTAATTGATTTTAAAAATCATAATTGATATGTATTTTTTTTTGTTAAAAATTATTGTTATAAATAAATAATTTTCAAGATTGATGTTTTCTTTCAAGTAGAGGTTTGAAGACTCGAAGTGAAATCATTGTTCCCTACAATTCTTACATACATTTGACTTTGTTGTTTTTGTGAATAGAATATAAGTACGCTATTTTCCAAATGAGAATTCAGCAATGGCATGCCCGGGAGTTGTACAATATTCTTAAATTGACGGCAAATTATACTATCGTGATAAACACGTTCTGATTCGTATCATAAATAAGTCAAATTTCAACACCAAGAATGTCATAAAGAGAGCGCTTTCACAAATTGCCTTCAAGGAAAAAGAAATTTCATAAAGAGAGCCAGACAGTACAGACTAGAGAGGAAGAAACGCAGA